TCTTGTTGTAAAGCAGCTGGGGCTAAATTCAACCCATAGGTCCCTCCACACTCCATCCCCACCATATCTAGCAAAAACATACACTCCCTTAAGCCCAAAAGTACCACACCAAGACACCCATCCTGATAGATGAGGCTGGGAAGCCTACACATAGCCCCACGCAAGCACTCAGAAAACACTACAGGTCCATTGACACAAACATGATGAAAATCGACGAGTTACACCACAATCAACACATGTAGTCAGCCTGTACACAGCTTGTCCTATAAAATATACTAAAAAGTGCTTATCCATGACTGTCACACAAATGTTGAAACTATGTCTGTTTTTCAAATTGCCTATACCCGCTAATGTGGCATTGCAAGCATGTACCTATTAATGCACAAAAAAAAAAAAAAAAAATGTAGGGGTGTGTCTGTGTCATGCTCGCGATCAGGTAGGAGACGACTGCCACAGTTAACTGAAGGGGCTTTTGACATTACAGCAGTATAACTTGTAGAATAAATAATAAAAAGGAAAGGGAGAAATAAACTTTAAGAGAATATGCCCTATAAAGAGGAAAAAAAAAAGTGTGCAAATAATGAAGCTGGATAAAAAGTATAGGAAGAATAAGACAGGTATTAGGAACTATAAAGCGGCAGGGACAGAAAATAACACATTGATAATTAATGTGTTCAGCAATGTCCAGATAGTGGTTATGCAGGGTTGTATAAATCCAGGTAGGCAGGATAATGCAGAGTTGATAGTAATCCAGGTTGGTATGGTGCAGGGTTGTATAAATCAGGTAGGCAGGCTAAAGCAGAGATGTATGTTATCCAGGTTGGTATGAAGCAGGATGGTATAAATCAAGTAGGCAGGATATTGTAGATTTGTAAGTAGTCCAGGTTGGTAAGGAGCAGGGGTGGTAGCAAGTAAGTCGATGGTTGTTTCAGGAGCTAAAGTCTTTCAAGTATGAACATAAACTTCAATGTAAAGGCAACTTGATTTGTTGGGTGTGGTCATTTATAGCAGTACTTATTTTCATGTGATACAGGTGAGTCTGAGGTGACTAGTGGCTAGGGAGGCCACTAGAGGCGAGAAACAGGTACTGTATTTAAAGGGATAGTATTAAACGGAAAAGGTCTTGATGGTCAGTATGGGAACCTGACAGTCTGTATGTAATGTTAATATTTGAATGCAGGGGTATATTTGTGTGTAGAGTTGCTGTTTGGATGCTGAGATATATGCACATATACATAGCTGCATACATAGTGATACACATACTCACACAGACACATATGCACCTACATACACACACTGGCACACATGCAGATACAAGATACACATACTGATACACATACACAGGTATAGACATGAAGATACACAGACACAAAGAAAGATATACACACACAAACATACAGATACACAGACACACAGATGCACACACATTCAGATACACAGAATGACACTTACATATATACAAACACTGACACACATACGGAAACACACACTAAAACACATCCAGATACACAGACACACATACAGACAAACACATGCATAGAACATACAGATGAACATACAGACAAACACATATAGATACCCAGACACACATGCAAAATATATATTTTTAGCCACCCTCCTGTTTCTTACCTTTTGGGTGTAGGAGGGTGACTTACTGGGGTTTAGTTGGCTCGCTGAGGCTGCTGGGATTCAGGTGCTCTCCCAGTCTCTGCCTGCTTCTCCCACATGGCTCTGTTATATCTGGGAGGAAGTGACCATCTGTGGTAGTTCCCCAGTTGTTTAGAGTCCAGACCAGATTCATTTTGGGTTTATCATCCTGCCCCTTGCTTCAGATGTCCGTTTGGAGGTAACCACAGAAAGTATAAATTTGATCTGGTTTTGGAATGCAATGTCACTTTAATAATAGTTTTTTTATTTGATATTGACCAGATATCAAATAGACCAGATCTCAAATTAATATATACATCAAAGTACTATCACTTTAACTATTTATTTTTTACACTATTTTTTTTTATTTTTTTTTATCACGTTAATTTTGCATTATATATATTCACAATGCTCTTACAACAGATTAATGAAATACACTTAATTTACAGTTAATTTAGCACTAGCACTTTAATTTGTCTCCCATAAAATTAGTGTAGGACCCACCGATATTGGTGTACTGTGACTTAGCGGTGGGCTTAACACGATATTTTAATATTGGCATCATTTTTATTGGTTTTAAGGAGTGAATATCCTTTAAACCATTTTTTTTTTTTTATTCCTATTTTGGAGAAATAAAGTACCTTTTGTGATAAATAATATCCTGCTTGTGCAGCCTTATTTCCACTCATCTGGAAAAGCCATAAAGTCATCTTGAAGAAGGACAGGGACATCCTTAAGAAAAAGGTCCCACTGCATTATCCATGAGAGCCATATGTTGTGATTTGGCTCCAGGCTTGTGAGTACCTGACTTCCACATCAGTTCATATATTAATGATACTGGCAATATTACGCTATATTATTTTGTGTTTCTTATAGGAACATCAAGACGTGTGATCCACCTATTGTATTGTATGTATTGTATGTTTTCATTTCTTGGAGTGGTGTAAGGGGTTTCCACTCAGGTGGTCTGTAGCACCCAGTGCTGCCACACTC